TTTAGTCTAATTTATTAACTATGCAAAGAAAATGAATAAATAAGAAATATACCATTACGAGTACTTACATGCTCAAATATGCCCACACCAAGCAGCACTAGCAGTTAAACCCAAAATTCTAATGGCTAATTTTTGGAGATGAGGAGCTGAATTACCATATAAATTTCACCATTCAATTGTAAAAAGTGTTATGTTAGACAATCGTTATTTCTAAGTTAATGTAACTATGTAAGTATTAAGTAAAATTTTAAACATAAAAAGAATTTAAATGTTAATATTTTCACTTACCACGAGATCTTGTCGTTCTAGATCTTTTGCAATCGGAAGGCCAAATGTTCAGCTTTAGTGTACAGTAGTATCTCATATATAATCTTGTCATATACTTCAGTGCTTGTAACCAATTTTCCAATACAAGCACATAACCCATCTGTTACTTCTCTACAATTTTCAATAGCTGAATTTGATAGAAGTACTCTAAATTTAGATAATGTCAAGCTGCATGTATTGGATGATGCAATTGGCATTGCCATCTTTCATCAATAATCTTAAAGATATCTTTATACTTTGCTATATTCCCTTCAAATGCCTTTGCAATAGCCTCCTTAACTCTATCCATGGCTTCATAAATGTACCTCATTGTAAGTTTTTCCTCATTATCTGCTAATTGCAACACTTTAACAAGAGGCCTCATTGTTTCAAAATATAAACAATCTGGTTCCAAAATGTTGTCATCAAGACGGTATGAGCTACACTTTTTCCCTTTGGTAACTTAGACCATCTACTAATCACCCATTTGTTAGATTTTAACATTGCTCGCAAATTCGTTTTTTGACAATGCAACCGTTACAAAGTCAGAAAACTCGTTGCAAATCGAGTAATCCCACATTTCACCAACTCTTTAGTTTTTGTGAAATCTTTCATCATATTTAAGACTCCTGAGTGCCCATAAATGAAACCGACAAGGGCAACTGCTCTTTGAAGGGTGTTCTTAATGTTTGGAATTTTTCTTATGTCTTCCAACATAAGATCTATACGGTGGGCTACACATGGCGTCCAGTATATGTATCTTCTTTTTCTCTACAAGAGTTGACCTATAGAAAAAAAGTAATTAGATATGTTAAAATTTGGAAATCAGCTATAGAAAAAAAGTAGATAGATATGTTGAAATTTAGAAATCAATACTTTGAATCGATATTAGAAATTAAAACATAAAACTTAAACATTTAAAGCAATAAATTCTTACCAGCCAACACAAAGTTGCTACTATTATCACCTAAGTTGCTCGGACTCGGGTGCGGGTATCCGATACGGGGACGGTTTCGAGTATAGAATTCGGCAAAATCTAAATTTTAAGATTCAGGTGTGCGAATTCGTATATGGATACGGGTGCGGGGATACGGCTAAGAAAATTCAAAATAGTAAAAAATAGAGCTATAAATTTGTACAACTAGTAAATAATTTCGTATAAATTAATTTTGCGCGATTAAAATATATAAATTATTTAGCAAAAAATCAACATGCAAATAATTAATTTAGAAATTATTTCTATATATTGTATGAGAAAGAAATATTTGCAAATAGCAATCAAAAACATGTCAATGACGTGTCACAACTCAAAAGTGTGGAGAATAAAGAGGACAAGTGGCATATAATGGAGAATAAAGGGGTTACTTATTATTATATTATTACAATTAAGAGTCTTTAGGAAGGAACTGCCGGTCTTCTAGGTCATCTTCCTCAAAATTCCCCAACTTCTCATCTTCCTCTTACAAATGCTCAAAATCCCCAACTTCTTTCAAGCTCGTATAGATCGCCATTCATGCTTCGTTCACGTCCCTTTTGTTCTTCCCTCATAAGAGAAAAAGAAAGCAATTCAAGGCAAAGTTCCATCTACATCTGCTAGGTCTACATGAAGTCCAAAATCAGAACATGACACTTTGAATTTTTGGTTTCTCCGACACACAAAGCAGCAAATATGAGACAAAAATATTATAACATTGAAGGTATGCCATTTTCCATAACTTAAATCTGTTTAATTTTTGATTTCCCCCTTCATCATTTGATTTTTCGCATCTAAGAGCTGATCTTGCAAAAGGAGTACAGTGCGATAACAAGCGATTTGTGATCAATAAAAAGTACCACCGGATTCTGTACCCATCAGTCTGGGTTCTTGAGGCATCTTCGCTCCGTGAACCCGGCTGCTATTGAAGCCCGAATGGAAGCAAGCCGTCAAAGAATTCGGGAACTAGAAGAAAGACTCCAGGGACTACGCCAGGAGCAGCAGGCACTGATCGTGGAGCCAATCTTCCTTGGTGCCCGAGAAAACTAAAAGAGTTCGTCGACACTTTTTAAGAAATCAAAATCTCAATTTTTCTCCCAAATTTGTCGATGGACTCCGGTCAAAGTGTCCGAAGTCGGTTGATCGTATTCGGGACGTTTCCCGCTCTAGCACCCGTCCAAGTCTAGTATCAGGACGGGGACGACACCAAAATTGAAGAGTCCGTGCAACTTAGATTATTACTTATAACTTGAACCAATTATACTCTCTAACGCGCTCCACGTTTCTCTCCGGTCTTAACAAATGAGTAAGCATCTATCGACTCCATAAATGCTATTCCATGCGGAGAATTCACCGAAAAACTTATCAAAGTTCTTTGTTTCCTATCTGACCATCCATCCGCCATAATGGAACATCCATACTTCAGTCATTCTTCTCTATGTTTGTTTATAATCTTATTGGTTAACTCACCTCCTTCCTAAGTAACGGAACCCTTAATTCGTGGTAGCTTGGAGGCTTCAAGTTTGGACCATACCTTCCTATAGCCTCAACTGCTTCCTTGAAACTTTTTGAGCGAGCAACACTGAACGGGATCCCATTATAGTAAAAGAAGCGAGCAACTTTTTGAATTGTCATTGCTCTTGCTTCTTTATCACATGAATCTTTGATATTTGTTTGCGTAAGTGTTCCTTGCTTTTGTAGAAACACATCCATGGGTCCCTTTTCTTTGGCCAATTTCTTACTAGAGCCACTAGGAAAGCTTCCTCCAACTCTTTTCTTATGAATGATCTTGTAGTCTTCATCTTCCCCACTAACTTTGTCTTGATAATCAAACTCATCAAGTCCAGAAAATTCGTTAGTATAGAGTTTCTTTCTTATTTTTTTCTCCTCCATGTAATTTTTCAATTCCTCTCTAACCTTCTTTAGGCATATTGCGCACTTTGCTTCATTCCTAAAGTTCCCAATCAAATGTTGTTTTGCCCGATTAATTCCACATGTGGTTGTTTTTCCACAAAAATTGCACGTGACTCTTGTAGTGTCATTAGGATCCTTCAAATGATTATATTTCCAGCCAAGATCCATTCGATTGCCTTTGTACAGGTCCTCTGACATTTCTAATTCTGAAAAAAGAGTGAAAAAAAATTATAATGCATCTTGCAAGCAATTATAATTTTTAAATAATAATACATAACAAGAACATAAAGCTGGACAGTCCTCTATCATTTTCAATTCTAAAGAATTAGTAAAAAGTAATATGTAATGCATGTTGCATGCAATTATAATCTTTAAATAGTACTATACAATAAGAATTTTTAAATAATAATATATAACAAGATTATAAGATAGACATATCCTCTGCCATTTTAATTTTGAAATAAAATAAAATAATATATGACATTTTGCATGCAATTATAATTGTTAAATAATGATATACAACGAGAATACAAAGGTAAACACCATTGGGGTCCACCACTATGGCATGACTCCTACGAAACTGTTGAGTCCACCATTTGTATCTTTATTATTATCCTCTCTTAGTCCCTTTACAGGTGTTACATATATAGTGATAGTTATAAAAGTTGACAGTATGAATCATCAAACGAGGACAAATGTCTCATTTAATTCTACAAATTTTTTACAAAGACAAAAAGGACTAAATATAAAATTTCAGCACCAACCCCATTTATTTTCAACTTTACCAGTAACCCGCTTTACCCGAAAGGAAAAATAGCAAAAAACCTAATCACAAAAAATTAAGTCCTAATCACAAAAAACTAAGTCAACTCAGTCAGGTACTCATCTTTTAGTGGAGAATTTTTTTGTCTATATCTCTTATTAAAAAGAACGAACAAAAAGAAGAAAAAAATGAGTAAAAGAGAGAGAGGTATACAAAAAGGATAAGAGAGATAAAAATAGAGAAGAGAAGAAGACTTGTGATAGAGGCTTGTTCCGCTATAGGTCTCTGTCACAGGTCTTCTCTTCTCAGTTTCTTTCTCTCTTATCCTTTTTGCACGCCTCTCTCTCTCTTCTACTCATTCTTTTCTTCTTTTTATTCGTTCTTTTTAATAAGAGATATAGACAAAAAACAATTTCCATTAGAAAATGAGTATTTGAGTGAGTTGACTTTTTTTTTTTGTGATTATGTTTTTTGCTATTTTTCCTTTCGGGTAAAGTTGAAAATAAATGGGGTTGGTGTTGAAATTTTATATTTAGTCCTTTTTTTCTTTGTAGAATTATATGTGACACTTGTCATCGTTTGATGATTCATGCTCTCAACTTTTATAACTAGTACTATATATGTAACACCTGTAATAATAAAGATACAAATGGTGGACTCAACAGTTTCTTAGCAGTCATGCCATAGTGGGGTACCCCGTGGTGTTTACCTTTATATTCTTGTTGTATATCATTATTTAACAATTATGATTGCACGCAAAATGTCATATATTATTTTATTTTATTTTATTTCAAAAGTAAAATGGCTGAGGATTTGTCTACCTTATAATCTTATTGTATATTATTATTTAAGAATTCTTATTGTATATTATTATTTAAAAATTATAATTGCATGCAAAATGCATTACATATTACTTTTTAATAATTTTTAGAACTGAAAATGATAGAGGATTGTCCAGCTTTATGTACTTGTTATGTATTACTACTTAAAAATTATAATTGCATGCAAAATGCATTACATATTACTTTTTAATAATTTTTAGAACTGAAAATGATAGAGGATTGTCCAGCTTTATGTACTTGTTATGTATTACTACTTAAAAATTATAATTGCTTGCAATTTTTCCAGAATTAGGAATGGTTGAGAAGTTGTCCAAAGGCAATCAGATGGATCCTGGCCGGAAATATAATCATTTGAAGTATCCTAATGATACTACAAGTCACATGCATGTTTTGTCGAAAAGCAACCACATGTGGAATTAATCAGGCAAAACAACATTTGATTGGGAACTTTAGGAATGCAGCAAAGTGTGCAATATGCCCAAAGGAGATTAGAGAGGAATTGAAAAATTACACGGAGGAGAAAAAAATAAGAAAGGAAGTCTATACTAACGAATTTTTTGGACTTGATGAGTTTGATTATCAAGATGATGTTGGTAGAGCAGATAAAGTCCACGAGATCATTCAAAAAGACACGGATTGGAGGAAGCTTTCCTAGTGGCTCTAATAAGATATTGGCCAAAGGAAATGGACTCATGGATGTGTTTTTACAAAAGCATGGAACACTTGAGGTAAACAAATATCAAAGATTCATGTGATAAAGAAGCAAGAGCAATGACAATTCAAAAAGTTGCTCGCTTCTTTTACTATAATGGGATCCCGTTCAGTGTTGCTCGCTCAAAAAGTTTCAAGGAAGCAGTTGAGGCTATAGGAAGGTATGGTCCAAACTTGAAGCCTCCAAGCTATCACGAATTAAGGGTTCCGTTACTTAGGAAGGAGGTGAGTTAACCAATAAGATTATAAACAAACATAGAGAAGAATGACTGAAATATGGATGTTGCATTATGGCGGATGGATGGTCAGATAGAAAACAAAGAACTTTGATAAGCTTTTTGGTGAATTCTCCGCATGGGCCCATGTTTATGGAGTTGATATATGCTTCCTCATTTGTTATGCCCGGAGAGAAACTATGTGAATTGCTTGATAGATACATGGAAAGCATAATGTGGTTCAAGTTATAAGTGATAATGGTAGCAACTTTGTGTTGGCTGGTAAGAATTTATTGCTTTAATTATTTATGTTTTACTTTGTATTATTGATTCAAAGTTCTGATTTCTAAAATTTAAAATATCTATCCACTTGTTTTTTAATAGCTGATTCCTAAATTTTAACACATCTATTTACATTTTTTCTATTGGTCAACTCTTACAGAGAAAAAGAAGACACATATACTGGACGCCATGTGCAGCCCAATGTATAGATCTTATGTTGGAAGATAGGAAACTTCCAAATATTAAGAAGACCCTTCAAAGACCAATTGCCGTTGTTGGTTTCATTTATGGGCATTCAAGAGTCTTAAATATGATGAGAGATTTCACAAAAAATAAAGAGTTGGTGAAATGTGAGATTACTCGATTTGCAACGAGTTTTCTGACTTTGTAACAGTTGCATTGTCAAAAAACTAATTTGCAAGCAATGTTAAAATCTAACAAATGGGTGATTAGTAGATGGTCTAAGTTACCAAAGGGAAAAAGTGTAGCTCATACCGTCTTGATGACAACATTTTGGAACGAGATTGTGTATATTTTGAAACAATGGGGCCTCTTGTTAAAGTGTTGCAATTAGCAGATAATGAGGAAAAGCTTACAATGAAGTACATTCATGGATAGAGTTAAGGAGGCTATTACATTCTGGAATCAGGTTGTGTATATTTTGAAAATAATGGGGCCTCTTGATAAAGTGTCACGATTAGCTAATAATTGGAAAAAACCTGCAATGGGGTACATTTGTGAAGCCATAGAATAAAGTTAAGGAGGGCATTTGAAGGGAATATTGCAAAGTATAAAGATATCTTTACGATTATTGACTAAAGATGGCAATGCCAATTGCATCATCCAATACATGCAGCTGGACATTATCTATAAAACTAGAGTACTTCTATCAAAATTCAGCTATTGAAAATTGTAGAGAAGTAACATATGGGTTGTATGCTTGTATTGAAAAATTGGTTCCAAGCGCTGAAGTACAAAACAAAATTATATCTGAGATACCACTGTAGACTAAGGCTGAACAACAATTTGGCCTTCCGATTGCAAAAAGATCTAGAACGACAAGATCTCCTGGTAAGTGTAATATTAACCTTTAAATTCTTAATATTTTATGTTTAAAATTTTACTTAATACTTATGTAGTTACATTAACTTAGAAATAATGATCGTCAACATAACACTTTTTACAGTTGAACGGTTGAATTTATATGGTAATTGAGCTCCTCATCTCCAAATATTAGCCATTAGAATTTTGGGTTTAACGGCTAGTGCTGCTTGGTGTTAGCGTATTTGAGCATGTAAGTACTCATTATGGTATACTTCTTATTTATTTATTATTTTTTGCATAGTTAATAAATTAGACTAAAGTACTAAACATTAAGATAATCCATGCAACTGATCCATACCAAAATAAGAACAGATTGGAGCACCAAAGATTGAATGATCTAGTGTATGTCAAGTATAATCGTGATTTAAAAGCCCGTTATGACTTGCGCAGTGTTATTGATCCAATTACATTGGATAACATTGATCATGGTAATGAGTGGCCAGTCGGGAAGATGGATGTTAATGTGGAAGCAGAAGATGAGTTGGTGTTTGGGGATGATAGTTTGACTTGGGGTGATGTTGCAAGAGACAGTCAGAAGTTGTTACAACTAATGCCTCAAGCTTCACGTGTTGAGTCTGCTGACATAGAAGATGAGATTGTTTCTGATGAGTCAGGGGAATAAGAGATTGGAGGCTATAGTTCTAGTGACACCAGTGAGAATCACCCTATTGAGGAAGATTATATGGAGGAATATTATGTTAGTGCTTAGAAGTGGAATCAAGAATGGGTTTATCTTTCCATATTAAGACTTAAGTTGATGGTTTGATCATAATAAGCAATTTATATATTTATCGTTTATGTGTCTAATATGTTCTTCAAAAATATATATTAAAAAAATTCTTCATAATGCGCTTTTTCCGGTGAAGCTCACCCTTTAAGTGCACTTTCCGCTTTAAGCTACAACAGGGCTTAACCGCTTTTCGCTTTTGACAAGACTGACTGCTGCTTCTCTTTAATTAACTATTCCAATGCATTCTCCACTAGGACTTTGTGTAGATGGTTTTCGGTGCTGAACTAACCTTATCTATATGCAATTGTTTGATTTTATGTCTTCTCATTTTCATCAGCTTCTCTCTATCAGAGACGATCTTTTCGATACCTTCAGGAAGAGGCAAAAGGGTGCAATGGAACCTGAAGAGGTGCAGTTAACTGCTGACTCTTTACACAGGTTAGTTTAAGTCATCACAACTCCTATGAGGTGAATCTTAAGATTGATTAGCAGACCTAGATGCATGCATTTTTAATTACTCCTTTTCTTGTAGATTTGTCTTATAGTTAATCCAAGAAAAGTAATTGATAAAGGACAAGATTCTAAAATATACTCATTTTCCCACTTGTGGGATTTCACTGGTTTCTTCTTCTTCTTCTTCTTCTTCTTCTTCTTCTTCTTCATATTTTTTTTTTTTTGTTGTTGTTGTAAATTGATCTCTTGCAATTTAATCTGACTTCTAAATCATTTTGCTTCACCCCACTTTCTAGTAATGTCAACATGACACAAAAAGTAGTCTAACAAGGAAAAGCAGGATAGCTTCGATGAATGCTCTGAAGTTTGGGCTGTGATGATGATTGCACAAAAAAAAAACTCTGAAGTTGGACAGGCCCAAATGTATATGTTATCAGCCAAATAACAGTCTATTTATTAATTATCCAAGACATTCACAGGCAGTAGAAGTGTTAACTTTTGAAGGCAATGAGGCTATAGAAAGCTGTAATAATGATAAAAGTGAAAAACCAGAAGTATGAGTGCATGTTGAATTTTCATCAGTCACCATTATAAGTACTTGCATTATGGAGAAAGAGGTAGTGGGATGGGGAACAGGAGAAAGGAAATGTATAAAATGCAGAACTTTTGTCATAACTGACCATCTTAGACCTTTGTAATTTCGAAATCTGATACACATATGAATAAACTGTGGTCCTGATGTCATGGAGGTGACAAAAAATGCCAATGTAATTGAGTGCGGAGTTGTTTTACTTTTTGAGAATGCTGGGTAGACATTCCCAGCAAAAGTAATGTATCTGCAAGATTGGTGCTTGAGCTAGGAGGTTAAGCATTATGAAGTGTATAACTTTCATGATAAAGGAATACTGAGAAGCAATTTCGTTTTAATCAATGGTGAAAGCTAGTTCTGAAGGTTAATATTGGTTGCACTTCCATTCATAAATTTAGATGATTAGATCCAGAAAGACATTTGTTGGATTATTTAATTAAACTGATTAATTAATTAAATAGTTTGTCTTTTGACCAGAATAATGGAATCCGCCAGATACTGTCCTAAATATTTTGCTCATCAAGATTTTTAACCTAATAGTGTTGGTAACTAACTTATCTTTACTGTACATTATTGTGTCCTAATGTAACTGAGATTTGTATTAGCGATTCCTTCTGAAATCTCTTCTGTAGTACTTATCAAAAGGAGACCAGCCTGCTGCATGGTTTTGTGTGATTCTTTAAGATTGCCTCTTGCCTTTACTCTTTTAACAGGCTATCAGGAACATTTTCACTGTAAACTTCTTCTTTGAAGTGCAAATAATGTAATTTCTCCAGTCCATTGTTTGTTTTGGCTATAAAAAGATTATGATACTGTTGGTTTGCAGAATGTTGCGAGCTTTTACTGAGCAGTCAAAGGGGGAGAAGCCTCTGCAAAATGCAACAGATCAGAAAATGCTTGAAATAGTAATGGCAAGGTGGGACGTCATTCTGGTCTTTGTGGTTGCTTGTTTGATTTGTGAAGGTGTTGAATCATACTACACCCCACTGTAGAGAAGGGTTAAATAGATTTCTTTTATGCCATTGTTATTTTCTAACTTCTAAGAATATGCCTGTTTCAGTTTCATCCTTTCTGATGCTAAGAAACATATGCTATTAAAGGTTTACTTTTGGTTGCTTGTCATTACATGTTTACCTAATTTCAATTTTTTGGATGAGGAAATAGAATTTAAGGTTCGCGATAGACATGCGCAATTTAAGGGCAAAGTATGTAGGGCAATTATTGTTCCTGCTTCCTTTAATTGGGGAGCCTCATACATGGAGAATCTGTTCTATATCTTTGTCATTGTACTTGCCATTTCAGCTAGTCGAATCTATCCAATTGTAGATGGAAGAGGGTTTTTTCCATATTGACAAGTTACAGGATAAGTGGATAACAAGAAGAAAAAACGTATTATGGTGTTTGATTGACTCAAGGTTGGGGTATCCGTTAAGAAATAAGTTAAGGGGGAGATATTTGTCAACTTAAGTTAAGAAACTGGAAGTGTCTCATATACTGGAAGGACTCTTTTAACTCACAAATGATAATCCTAACTCTGTCCTTTTCAGTTTCAAGTAGTTTGGTAGTTTTCCATGCGATCCTGAATATTTGTGAATTAGTGCATACTAGATTATATGCTAGCAGATCATGTCTGGAGCGAATTAGTTTATAGCTAATATCATGTAAGCGGGTTTTCTTAAAATTAGGTATGAAAAGGAACTGATGCATCCAATTCAAAATCTCTTCTCGGGGGAGCTTCTGTTCCAACTAGTACTTTCTAGTATTGGCATGTAACATATGTTTCTGCATTACAGGTCCAGAAGCTGAAGCTTGATATTGAGGAGTGAGTTTGTGCAACTTTTCTTGTCCTAAAAATGAAACATCTTGGTGTTCAAGTTCTGGTTTCCTTATCTGGTTTCTGTATGTCTAAAACAGGGCTATGCTGGAGCTAGATCAAATTCTTAGGGCAAATGAAATCAACTTTGCTATTTTAGCTGCTTTGCCTGCTTTCTTCCTCTCCCTTTTTTTTTTCATGGTGATGCGTGCTTGGATTAAACAGGTAAGATGGGTAAACAACAATAAAAGAGTTAAGTTTTAGCTCCCATATATTACTAAGCTTTACATCAAGCATTAGAGAATCATAAGCAGTAGAGCATCATAACAATTTAATATACTCTGTAGGATAGAGTCGATACTAAGTTCTCTCGTACTAACATATGATTGATTTACTTTGAGAAAACTAGAGCACTTAGCCAACAGAGATTTTTTAGTTCAACTAAGTAGAAATAGTCCCTGCAATACAACTATATCTCAACTCTGAATCCCAAACAAGTTAGGTTGGCTATATGAATCCTCACTGACCATGTCGCTCAGCTTATGTCCAGATTTATACAAAATTAAAATAAAAATTCTTTATCAAATTATTTTATTTAAAAAGTACTAGAATCCTGTATACTTTCTACTGACTAAAAGACACCTAGAAAACATAGGACCTAAAGTAAAAGTATTAACATGACATGACGAAAATTCAATTCCAGCTAATTGGTATCAGTATCACATATATAGATCATATTTTCTGTTGTACCCTATTCTCACTAGGTCTACATGATTACAAGAGATTGCAAGTCCTTCGGAATAACGCCCTTCCGTGTGTTTTTGGGTCTACCTCGTCCCTTTTTAACACCTTCACTCATTATGGTTCCACAATTATGGACCCGTGCATCTAGGACATAACTAAACCGTTTCAAGCGGACTTCTCTTGTTTTATTCTCAATGTGTACTACTTGCACCTTCTGCTGAATGTTCTTATTTTTAATCTTGTATAACAACACGCCCGTCTTAGTATCCGCATCTCTACGGCACTCTTGTTGCGGATATGTAGACTTTAGCGGCCCACATTCTCTCCGATATAATATTGCTGGTCTTATGAGAGTGAATGTTCGGCCGCTAAAGTCCTCAACATACCACAGAGATGCAGATACTACGATGGATGTGGGGTCATACAAGATTAGACAAGATTAATAATGCCACATTCAATAGAAGGTACAAGCAGCACACATTGAGGGCAAAATGATTGAGGATCGTGCGAGCTGAATTATTTGAGAAATAATCCATACAATATTTGAATGTTAATGAATTGTTTGAACAGAGTAGAGTTAACAGTTGTTAGTGACAGCTGAAAAAAAAAACTAAGCTGCGCCACAGCTTGTGTCTTTTCCCTTTCTAATTCAGTCATTTTAGACAAGAGGTGATTTATCGCTTGATAATTACTGAAAAGGAAAGGTTATCTAATTTTCAAGTAAAAGGTTATCTGTTTAAGTTGTTTCACTGAGTCACTCATTTCCATCTTATGGGTCATGAGATGTCATGCAATTCCTATTATGCCGTTGACTTTTGAATGGAACCAGGATACGAGAGCAGAAGGCAGAGGAAGGGTTGCACGAATTCAACGACGACTGTTAATCGTTGAAGTAGAAAGAAAGATTATGCAATCGGAAAGATGCAAACATCAAGGACAAGTGAGGATCTCTGTACTTTTTGACCGTCGTTATATTATTAAACTATTATATTTACAATTTTCAGTATTCTCTGTGCCATCTGTTGTAAACTGTGACCTATCCTGATGCACATAAATATATAGCATGTAAGATTTTGACGCTTGGGGTTACAAATTGGATTATACTGCATTTGCTCTTACTGAGTGTTCTGAAGTAGCACAAGATTCACATTCGTCTCAACTCTCAAGGGCTAATGAAGAAGGAAATATTTATATGGAGGGGAACCTGTTGATGTTACTTCAACACGCTGAGCTTGAGTAAAGTTGAGGGGGAAAAGATGAAAATGTATCAGACACCCTCTTATAGCTAAAGGGTCGTGCCCAATTAGCTCTAATAAATTAAGGTTTGTCAAAGTCCGTTTCCTGTTGAATCAGACACAAATCAGCTCTCTTATTCATGTCTTTCTAAGTAGAGATTAAGAACACTAAGCCAATAATATGTTCTCCATCTAAGGTATTTGAACAAGTCATCCTCTCCTCGGTGCAGAATTCAGAGCCAGCCAGCTGCCTCGGAAAGTCTCATATTTCTTCCACTTCCATATCATTTCTAGCATGACATTATCAAATAAGAAGCTATTGCTGTCAGTCCGTTTTCTCTAGCAGCTATGTAAAATGGCAAATAGATATCTCTAGGAGCTCGATAAAGATGTTTGCTAGACTGCTTGGCCCAACCCCTCCTTGCTTTCCCCCACCTAAAAGGAAAAAAGAAGGATAAAAAGAAAACCAGGAGACTTCCCGGGTCTTTGAGGCGTTCTCTATGATTTCAACCATGTTTCTTTAACAAGTTGCTTAACTATTGTTTTCCTTCTCCATTTCTCTTCTTCTTCCCTGCACTTTTCAGGAAAAAGATGCACAATGCATGTATGGGTTGGCGTTATATAATCTTGATCGCTTATACTGTGCTGTGGAAGGCCATGCAAGGTCAACCGGTGAATGGATAAGGTTTATTTGTCTTCATCTTAATTTTATTTGCCCATGAGACTTCTTTCAAATCTAATATCAGTCGCCTGAAATATTTCTCTATTACATTTCCGTCTTAACAGTTTGAGGCAGGATATTATTGACTTAGCGAAGCCAGATACTCAAACTGCACATAAACTCAAGATCACCTCACGCATGGAGCGGGTGTATGACTGCTTGCTTTCTCTACCAAAAAGTTGGTAGTTCAGATAATCTTCAAATTTGCTGTTTATTGGAACATATTTAAGAACCGATTTTTTGGTGATATTTTATCCAATGCTCGGTGTTTGCTGCTTTAGTTGCAATGTCCACCAATTTTGAAATTGTACAGCTGAATATAGAAATCCTGCTACCACTCCCTACCGAGGACATTTTGGTTTCTCCTGACTTTTCATTTGATATTACTTGTAAAAGCACAGAGGATTTTTCAGTGGCGGACACTGAAATGGGATTAAAGACCAGCTGCTCCGAAAAATGTTACCGCATGGTGGCTGAGTTACTGTATTTAATGACGTGCCTGCAGAAATTCAAAAATAGCCAGATTTACAATTGGTCGTTTTAAAATAGTCCAGTTTCAAAAGTAATCGAAATTTAGCCACTTTTCATGTAAAGATAAATCTGAGCGAAAACACTGTTCAAAAGCTGAAAAATATGTCAGTATATTATACTGGAGTTCCAGGATAAGTATGCTGGAACTCCAGAATAAGTACACTAGAACTCCAGCTAATATACTGGAGTTCCAGCAAATATAATTGTCCAGTATAATATAGTGGAGTTTGGAGCACCGGTGCTCCAGTCTCCAGTATATTATACTGGAGTTCCAGCAAATATAATTGTCCAGTATAATATAGTGGAGTTTGGAGCACCGGTGCTCCAGTCTCCAGTATATTATACTGGAGTCAGCAAAGTATACTGGTCCAGCATAATATGCTGGAGTTCATACACAGGTGCACCGAACTCCAGTATATTATGTTAGACCGGTTTCTGTTTCACCAAAAAAGTGGTTATTTTTCATTGACTTCGTAAACGCTGACTATTTTTGAATGATCTGTCCGAAAATTGGCTATACCATGCTATTTTTACTTTAATTCTTCCTCTTAAGCTAGTTCATTGGCCAAAAGACTACAAGGGTGATTGACCGGAATGGCCCTATAAGGGGATTGGTCTTTAAATATTATCCCTATTTTTTAATGTATTTAAAAAATAACCTTCGGACTGACGTAACTCTTCAGGAATTTCTCTACTAGATTGGTAGAGTTAATGTTGTATTTACTTTACTTGTATTGTTAATTGTTCACGAACTTGATTTTGCGTTTGTTCAATTGTTCACTGAACTTTACTAAATTGCCGTAACTTTGTGTTATTTGCAAATGTCCTATCTATTAAATTGTTCATCAAGGTCTACTCGGTTAATATGATTTTGTGCTTGTTCAAGTGTTTACTAAACTCTACCATATTAGTGTGACTTTGTGTTATCTGCATTCGGCCTATTTGTTAAATTGTTCATCAAAGTCTACCCGATTGGGCGTAATTTTTCTGTATTATTCAACAAAATGTTCTTGAAATTTGCAATTTCAATTTCGGTTAAATCACCCAAAATTTGCTCCAAATGATCTCAAATTTGAAACAGAGCCTCCAAATACCAACATAAATGATCCGTAGTCACCAATTTAGTCAAACAACAGCGAACCAAGAAGAGCCGCTTTGTCTTCTTTACAACTTTTTAAGGATCAATTATAAAGTTTTGAGATTTTTAAAGCAAACCACTAACTGTGTGTTTAAACTAAAAGTTTAAGCATAATAATTAATACTCTAAATGATTTTAACAGTAATTAACCATTACTTTCGAATTTTCAACCCCAATCAAGAATTTTGAGCTTCCAACTTGCACGTAGATTTGTTGACTCAATCTGATATTCTCTATTACTTGTTAATGCTTTTATTATTAATATTCCAACATTTTCTCTTTTTGTCCTGATAAATTTTCCCTTTAAGGAGATTAGCAAAATGTGTCTAAAGAAGAAAACATTGTCCCAACAAAGCTATGCATGAACATATCCCATTCGTATTCAATATTCTGTTTCATATGTGAAAAGGAATTTTTTCATTCCTATACCATATATGAAACTTTATTACTAAATATGTGCATAGTATCTAAATTATCCGCCTAGTCCACATTTTTCCTACAATTTCTGTATCATTCGTTTATTAGGAATTAATAGGGCAGAATCTTCCCTTAATAACGCGCGAAAAATCAGGAAATTTTTTTGGGATTGATTGATTCTACATTAAATTCAAGTTTTGAAACGGAAAGGAGATCAAATCATATCACGGAAATCCTTTATCTTCAATTTATAATCAAATTCTGTTCCGTTTTTTTTTTCTCACAATCGCTACAAATCAAAATCTCAGTTCGTCATTAAATCAAAATCGCTACAAATCCACCATTGACAGCCATTAAAAAGCTTGAAAGCTTTGAATTCAAATTTGGATTTTCAAAAATCATTATTTGTTTGGATTGGGTGTTGTTGAAAATAATTGGAAATATGGTTTGGAGTTTATATCTCAATTTTGAGGGGTTTTGGTGAAGATTAGACTTGGTTTTGACTGAATTTCAGATTGAACCTCGAAGAAGAAGAAGAAGACATATTGCAGAAATTGTAGATAAATTGTAGATATTTTGTAGATAAATTGTAGATGATTTGTATTCTGATTGTAGATGCTTTATTTTGTGTTTTCACAAATAAAAAAATAACTAAAACTTCTACAAATCTTCTGAAAAAATGCAATTATGTCAAAAATCCCAATTATGCTACAATTGAATGGGAATTGGGATATTAAAATTCAATGTACCCAGTTTGTAGATATTTTATAGATAAATTGTAGATTATTTGTATTCTGATTGTAGATGCTTTGTTTT